TCATAATTTTAAGCTTAGACTTTGTTACATTTCCTGATGGAACCACACATTATGCAGGATATGTTGACGGACCATCGGAAAGATTAACATTTTGGTAATTTATAAAAGGAAATTTTAAGTCTAAAGTAGCATGAAATAAAAACTTTCAAGTGAAGTTATAAAATCTCAAACTTGTACACAACAGTACTTTTTAAATAGAAATCATAATTATGTTACCATTTTCTCCTGAAGCAATCTGGTTCCCATTTTAATAATTAGTTTAATTATTGAATCATGTTTTTTTACACATACATTTTTCACATTACTAAAAGTCTGTCAGAGCTTGCTTTTATGTTAAACAGATGTACAGCTGCCAAAAGTACTTTATACATGTAGGATTTTGAAGTTAAATGTAATATCAGAGGAATATCCAAACCACAACAGCTTTAGGCTGTTTTTCTGCAAACATGTTTTTTTTTGCATTAGGTTTTAGAAATAATTTGCTAAACCCCAGCTTTTGTTTCAAATAGCGTGAACGTGAATATACCATATAACTGTTCTGATATGATGTCTCATAATTATTTTTTCATACATAGTGGCCCAATCCCATCTCCACATCCCAACTTTACCACTTTGAATGATCCCTCCATTTTGCCAGCTGTCTCATAGGAGAGCGTTTCCCGTTTGTTTCGGGGTTCAAGCACTGTGGTCTTCATGCCCTGCGAATGGTCGTCCATGCTCTGTGTGGAAGGACACACGACCACTGCCCCTCAGACCCCAAGAGACATGTGCTGCAGTACACAAAAGGAGCTCAGCCTTTAGGCCCTAAGTAGGCAACTGGGTTTGAACTAGTGTGTTGCATTCAGCGACATCTGGAGAACCAGCAGAGCTTTTCCTCGTCCACAGTAGACTGTAGTGAAGTGTAAGCACTAACTGAAGGACAAGTTGTAGTGAAAGTAATTGATCCATAAAATGTTTAAAAACTGCAAAAGTACCCATAAAGATTTCCTAGAACTCAACATATTTTTCACAACAATCCATCCATCCATTTTCTATACACCTCTTAATCCTCACTAGGGTCGTG